TGAAAGCCAACCCTTTTCGATAACTACTCTTTGTTTGGTAAAGTAATTCACGTACAATAAGTACGGGTACAAAGCCTTGAAAAAAATGACCAAATTTATCGTAACTATTACGTTTACCGATGCAATTAAATAGTGGAACACGAGTGTATATATAGTGTCCACCAACAGCTGATACACCACTAGCAAAAAGTAGTAGTCCGTAAACCAAGTTACTGAATTTAAATAAAGGATAATAATAAATTAATATAATAGCATCAACCACAGACGGCAAAATCTCTAGAAACCACACAGTGTTATCGAAAGGTTGAATTGACGAACAAATTAATATTATAGTATATAATATAAACGATATGAATACTGGCCCATGCTGACTTCATAAAAAAGTAGTGAGAGTCATCTGAAATATATAATACTAAAAATTCAGATAAAGGACACTTCCAATACCTTCCTCAATTTCACATTGCCTTAGCTTTTGACGGCAAGCTAATTTCAGCTATAACTCAAACAAAAATCTTCACGACCATTAAAAGAAAAACTTTCATATTAAAAAAAATAATTAAGTATATGCAGTTAAGTGTCTGGTAGTCTTGGTACTGCTCTTGTCTTGTTTTCTTTTGCTTTCAAATGTATATAATTCCTAAGATCGTGCACCAGAGATTTAATACTACCGTTTCCTGCTCTAATACTATATGGTCCTTTTGAAATATTTTGGAGATGATAGATTTTTCGAATGGATAACCTTGCAAAACGATGCACGAGATTTTTCCACTTTTGTTGGCTATATGGGTACATGACTATTACACAACCAGCTGAATTAATCTTCGCTATCCACATCAATATTTAAGATGTATTTAGAAACAGTCTCCTATCTGACGCAATAACTCGTGATAAAACATTCCCAAATGTTCGACATTGTGCGAGCTCATATTTTGTAAATTCAAATACTTGGAAGCTATTTTCACAGCAGTTGCCCGAGGCCGTTCAATATTCGCACTAACGCGATACTTGATAATTTTGAAAGAAAAAAACGGAACCCAATTGGGTGAAAACATAGGAGTTGCGTCAATACTCTGAGAAACTTTTTTTGCAACTTTCTTTAAAGTTACTTAGATGAGTAGTGGATAAATACTAATTTTGACTAAAAAATTTATTCGTTTGAGTACAAAACGTTGGAGATTTAGATCATTCTCTAAGAACATATCTATGAAGGTTGTCAAGTATAGAACGATTTTGAACGCATTTTGACCATAAATAATTAACTATAAGGTTAGCATAACCTTTGAAAAACCTCTTTCTCTACTGAAATTTGATTGTGATATGAATGTTTTCGACCGCACGAATAGGAATTTTCAATGTGTTTTTGAAACAGTTTTTCTTAATAATTATGGACAGCATTGCTGTTTGAACCCTCTATATCATGGTTCAATTTCAATTGAAAAAAAGTTTTTCGACGGTTGTGTTAATCTTACAGTTAACTGCTTATGGCCTAAATGTGCACAAAATCTTTCCCTTGACAATCGTCATAGACAAGTTCTTAGAGATTGATTTGAATCTTCAACATTTTTTACCCAAATGAGCAAAATGTTCGATGAAAATTAGGATTCGTTCACTATTACCCACTTAATTAGCACAAAAGAGTTGCAGAAAAATGCTTTGCAGAGAATTGGTGCAAGTCTTATCGACTTGACCTATCTCATTTTGTTTCAATCAAATAAGTTTAAACTATAAAATAAACAATAAAATGAATAGGAGAACGTCGAGTGGTTATGTAACGTTATTAATTCTACCGAATATATGAGATAACTGCAAAGATCCCGTTTGTGTAGTCAATTCGATTTTGCACAAGGTTTATTTATGTTTTAATAGATTAGGAAACAAGATTGAAGAATCAAAAAAGACATTTAAGAGCTTGTGCTGTCCATGTAAATTTTTTTTAACTTAACGATTTAATAAAAAAACATGTTACCTGTTTAGCAGTCTTTTTAACGAAGTTTCACATGTTTCTCTTCGTTAAACACTGTTAACGTTAAGTAATGCATGATATTTCGTTACACAGCATGTTTTTATGATCAAAAAGGTAACATCTCTTTTGTTAAATCGTTAATTTACAAAGATTTTCATATGAGTGATTCAAGAAAATTTCAAATCAAATGTTTCAGTATCATAAGAAGTTGTTGAATAAAATGTTGATATTCTTCCTACATACGATGTTTCAGGTTAAAGTATAGAACAATTAGAACGATGGTAAATAACAAAATTACAAATGTGTGATTGGTATACTGAAATATTGATACAACATCATTAGTGATATTTGCAACTATTTTAGCAGATGGTAGACAGTTGCAGGTAAC